GCGGCAGCGGCAGCAGCAGCAGCAGCAGCAGGAGGTGCTGTGGAGCGGAGGGACCCCTCGCAGCACTTGGGCGGGGGGCGGCTCCGGCCCGACCCCACTCCCATCAGGGCCAGCGCCTCAGCTGCAGCGGGTCACTGGGGGCTGTGTCCAGGCGAGTCGGGGCATCCCCAGGGATGAGATTCCCCCACCGCTTGGGGCTCGCACGGGGACAGGCTGTTTCCTTGGGACCTGCTGGGGTTTCCTGTGCTGCAGCTTGTGCCGGTGCCTCTGGGGCTCTCGCTGTGCCCCTCGGAGCAGAGTCTGGCCCCAGTGCTTCCAGGACCCCCTTGGGCAGGGGGAGACGCCACTGGGTCCCCCTTCGCCTCCTCGGCTCCGTCTGAGCCAGCCCAGCTCCCCCAGCCTCTCCTTGTACCTCACGTTCTTGACCCCCGATCGCTTCAGTAGCCCGAGGGGGAACTGGAGGTTGTTACTGGTGCCGATTGATGTGTCCTTTGGCAGGCAGGGTAACAGGAGGGACAGCTTTTGGCAAGTAGGGGCGAGGGGTGCATGGGATCGGGCTTATGGTGACCACTCATTGGGACCTTGACAGGCTGGTGAGGTGAGGCTCACAGAAACCTTAAAGAATTGAAAAAAATGCAAATGCTGAATCCCCAGGGCCACAGTAACCCAAACAGCAGCAGAGTCTGGGTGGTGACTGGTTGGAGGGCACCTGTGTAGAGAGGAAGAGTCCAGGGCAGGAGGGTGGCCTTGGGCCAGCAGAGGCCAGTCCTCACCCTAGTGGGCAAGGACAGAGCCAGCAGGTAAAGGAGAGGGAGTGCCTCAGCTGTGACACCACATCCAAAACACTCTGGCCAGTCTGGGGCCTCTCATCAGAAAATTATAAACAAACTGAAGCCTGGGGAGGCTCTGGTAATTGTGGGTGGAGGTCAGGGCATACAAGGAGAGGCTGGGGAGCTGGGCTTGCTCAGCCAGAGATGAGGAGGTAAAGGGGGATCCAATGGCATCTCCTCCTGCCCAAAGGGGCCCTGGAGGTGCTGGGGCCAGACTCTGCTGAAAATGGGCACAGCGAGAGCCCCAGAGGCACTGGCATAAGCTGCATCATCGGAAACTGCAGTTGAGTATTAGGAAAAGGTGTTTCCACGTGAGGATTGGGGCCCTGAGTGGTGAGGGAATCTAAATCTTTAGAGATATTTAAGCTTGGACTGGATGAGGCCCTGCACAGCCTGCTCTAGTTTGACTAATGTTTAGGTGGAGAGTTAGAATGAGGCTTGCAGAGATGTGTTCCAGCCTAAATGATTCAATGATTTTGGCAAACCAAAAGTGTGTCCATATTCACATTAAACTCTGTACTTGCATGACTTAGTTCTCCAGCCACAATGTAAGTAAATTTGCAGAATTTGGTGCTTGCCTGTTAATAAAATGGACAGTAGGATATAAAAACCCCTAAACTTGGAAAAACTGCTTTTGAATAACTTCAGAAGCAGCATCATGGGTGGGCTGCCAAAGCTGGCAATTTCAGCTGTGTCTGGAGCCTCTCAGTACACGAACCAGCACTACTTAAGACGACTCAGGAACTTTTTCATCCCTGGTGTGATTTTGAGATTGAAAAATCCTCTGCTGGTTCACCAACATTTGAGGTGGGTTTGTACCAATATAGTTAAATCAGGCACGATAATGAGTATTTCTGGTTTACTTGCTTCCTCCCCTTACACATAGTTATTTGTTCCAGTCAAGTATTTTAGCATACCATGCAGGCTCATAATGTAGTCAGGAAGTGAGTTTTGTGAGAATATATTTTCATTTGCAGCAGTAAAATAATAACTTGCCACCTTTGTTTTTGCACCCCAGGGAGCTTGTAGCCTCAGGTGGGAGGATGAGTGAGTTCCGGATTCACCATGATGTCAATGAGTTGCTCAGCCTGCTGCGCGTGCACGGTGGGGAGGGAGCCGAAGTCTACATTGATCTCCTGCAGAAGAATCGAACGCCCTATGTTACCACGACTATCTCTGCGCACAGCGCGAGGGTAAGTGCTGACGTAATGTAATCATAGCTGAGGGGCGTTTCAGACCTTATGGGGTGTCTGATAGAGGTTCCTGCAGCTCTGGGAGCACAGTCCTTCCTAAGGAGAAATTCAAGACAAACATTCCTCTTGGTCAGTGATGTGAACTACCTTGTCCTTACTCTACTCTTCGGTGACACGACTTTTGTGGGTGTGGAACTGGACATGTGTTGGGAGGGGTAACGGCTGTCACAAGTTTGTCGGAGAAGAATGGTGAAGTCACATTGGCAAAAAAATGGGATAGTCTGATCTGGAATCTCAGTTTTGGCTATAAAGTAGAAACATTATATCAGGAAGAAAGGTAAAATTCATGCATCCGGGAGAGATTGGTGGAAGAACATGAGGATTGTTAGAACTGGTGTGTTGGGGGGTTAGTTCAAAGAAAGGAGCTTATTTTTTGTCTTCAATGCTTGTTTCAAATTTTGATTAGAGAGGTTGTCCTCTGGAGGAATCAAACAAATGAAAAGTAGTAACTGTATGAAATGGGATTATGTGAACAATACTTGACTTTTTTTTCTGAATATCACCCAGGTATTAGGGATTAAAGTCTGATGCCCTCATGACCAGGCACACTTCTGTGGCCATAATACTGCTTTATATTGCAATTTTTAAAAGCAATCCATCAGTCAAGCTGCAAATGCTAGAAAATTGCTACCTCTGTCTGAAAGTTCAGATCTTTGTAGCCTGAACTGCTTATTTTCTCTAATTCCAGTCTTACACATCATTTACACCAACAGCTACAGTTTATAGACTTGTAGAAAGATTTAAGTAGGAGGCACAGATCTGCAGCCCAATTCCTTGCTCACAGCAGGGCCAGCATCACAGCTACAGCAGACTACTTAGCTGTGTTTTGAAGATCTCCAGGAGATTCCTCCATCACTCTGGCTGTGTCCCAGGGTTGCTGCTCTCTCCAGAAAGGACAGTTTTCCCAGGCCCAGCTGGGATTTTCTGTGTTGCTGTTTGGGGCCGTGCCTGTGGTGCTTTTGCTGAGCCTCTGGGAGCAGGGTCTGTAACCCCTTTGGGCAATGGGCAGTACTCCCCACTGTCTCCATAGCTCTGTACTGGGCTCCATCCAGTTTGCTGATGTCTCTCTTGCTTGTGCAGCCCCCGGAGTGGACCCAGTGTCCAGTTGTGGCTTCATCAATGCCAAATCCCTTAATAGACCTGCTGATACAAAATTATGTTGCTTCAGGGTGAGTATGTGCAGAGCGAGCTCGGATACAGATCTTGTGCTTACCTTCATCTTTCCTCTCTTGCAGTCCCCTCTCCATCACCTGAATGCCAGGACCCCCACTCTCCTCCAGCATAGTTATTAGTAGGAGACCAACACTGCAGCATTCAGTCCAAAACCCATTCCCTGGGTTTGGCATAATTTGGGTACTCTGGCAGCAGCAGCAGCCTGCACCTTGTCTCCACCCTTGCACGATGCTCCTCTTTTGAATGCTGTGCTAATAATGTACACTAAACATCCGATATTAACGTGGTGTTTTACAGGTAAAGATAGCAGAGTTCTCTCGGACTCCTGAAGACTTTTTAAGGAAGTATGATGAGCTGAAGTCTAAAAATACAAGACATCTAGATTCTTTAGTTTATCTGCTGTCAAAACTCACAGAAGACAAAGAGGTTTGTGTCTCCTTTAGAACTGGATATATTACAAGTATTCAGCAGTAGAAACTGCAATGATTTTAAATACAGCATGCTTTCTGATGACAATTTTCAGTGAAATGTGTTGAAATCAACAGATAACCAGTTCTAGTGTTTACCTAGTTATTAAAACACTATTACACTTTTCTTGATATCAACCACCAAGACACAGGAATCTGTTGCAGAAAGACCTGTGGTCTGATTCAGCACAACAGTCTTCTGGTCATATGTTTTTTGCTTTAGTGTATGCTGATCAGCATTCACAAAACCTTTTCTTTTTTTGTGTATATACAGACACTTCAGTATTTGCAACAAAATGCTAAAGAAAGGGCAGAACTTGCAGCGAATGCAGCAACCAGCGGCAGCACAAATTTTTCTATTCCCTCATCTACTTCCAAGATATCTCTGCAGGAGCTTGAGGAGCTACGCAAGCAGCTGGGCAGTGTCACAGCCAACTCCAGCATACAGCAGGTACTGTTTTTTCCCAGGCTTTGCGTACAAAATCTTTCCCTTATGCTCACATGTATACCTGTGCTTTTAACTTTTATTCACCTAGTGGAGTTACAAATGTTCCTTTCTGTGCAGATAATCTAAATTGTCTCTCAAAATTTGTTAGGTTATATTAAATCTTTGTGCTGTTCTTAATAGAAGTGGTCTTTTGTTTAAGTAAAGATTAGGCCATGGCAGTTCTAAATGGAGGGGTTTAATGTTATTTAATTTTCGCATTTCAAATGACTGCTTTAAGCTCTGCTGACATTTCCTTTTCTGCTTGTGTCAGTGCTTGCTCAGGAGCTCACCAGCTCCTGTGGTGTGTCTTCACGCTGGCTAGAAGTTCCACACTCTCAGATAATGTGGGTACAATGCCTCACATAATTATTCCCCAGGTGGACACAGCCGTTGCCTCTACTTAGCGGTTTGAGTTCCTGAAATAAATACTGCAGAGTGATCCCAAAGACAATAAGGAATTAAAAAAACCTGTTGTAGAAGTAAACTGTATCATTACACAGGCTTAGAAAACAGTTAAGCGAGCATTTCATTATCAGTAGGCCAGGAGGCAGGAAGTGCAAAGGGGCAATTATTACTTAAATCCCCAACATCTGTTTCCTGTGATCATTTGTATAAATAGCTATACTGTGAGGGGTTGGCTTTGACTCACCCTGCTCAACAGGACAGTGGGGAGAAAAATACAGCTAAAATCTTGTGGATTGAGGTACGGGCATTTTGGCTGCAGAAGTGGACAGTTATT